GACAATAAGACGCACACTGCGTAATGAAGGCCTCCGTGCCAGAACTCCCAGGCGTACCCCCTTGCTGTCTCCAAAGAATAAGAAGAGTCGACTGCAGTATGCCAAAAGCCATGTGGACAAACCACAAAAGTTGTGGGATAGTGTTCTGTGGACTGATGAAACAAAATTAGAACTGTTTGGGCCCATGGATCAACGCTATGTTTGGAGGAGGAAGAACAAGGCCTATGATGAAAAGAACACCTTGCCTACTGTGAAGCATGGTGGAGGGTCAATCATGCTTTGGGGCTGTTTTGCTTCTGCAGGTACAGGGAAGCTTCAGCGTGTGCAAGGTACCATGAATTCTCTTCAGTACCAGGAGATATTGGATGGAAACGTGATGCAGTCCGTCACACACCTGAGGCTTGGGAGACGTTGGACCTTTCAACAGGACAATGATCCCAAGCATACCTCCAAGTCCACTAGAGCATGGTTGCAGAGGAAAGGCTGGAACATTTTGGAGTGGCCATCGCAGTCACCAGACTTAAATCCGATTGAGAACCTCTGGTGGGACTTAAAGAAAGCAGTTGCAGTGCGCAAGCCTAAGAATGTGACTGAACTGGAGGCCTTTGCCCATGAAGAATGGGCGAAGATACCCGTAGATCGCTGCAAGACACTTGTGTCAAGCTATGCTTCACGTTTAAAAGCTGTTATAACTGTAAAAGGATGCTGTTAAGTACTAAGATTGAATGTCACTTGGGGGTTGAATAAAACTGATAATGCTGTGAGCACAGAAAAGACATTTGTGGTTATTTCATTATAACTGTTATGTTATATTTGTCTGACCTACAAGTGCCTCTTTAATGTAAATGTAAGCAAGATGACTGAATGATCAAAAGCAATGTCAAACTGGCCAAAACACTCAATTTCAGTGGGGGTTGAATAATTTTGGCCACAACTGTAGGTAGGGCTATAAAACCCTATTTGGTTATGGATAAAGAAGAAGCAGCTGTGTCCATCAATGATCATAAGAGAAATGTGCATTTACACTTTTTTTTTTGGAGCCTCGAAAGCATTGCACCAACAATCAGTAGATCACTGATGCCATGAAGGGCTCCTGCAAACCTGTCGACAGTGTACGGACAAACAGATACACTCTGAAAGGAATAATCAATGAACTACCACAGCGCTCAACAGCGCCATGGAAGTTCATTGAGAACTACAAGCCGACAGTCACAAAGGCTGTTGGTACGTGGAGTTCATTAATTCACAGAACTCTGTGAATGAATGCCACAGCTGTGTGGGAGAAGCCCACTTTTCAAAAAGTGACAGCTAGTACAGGGAACTTCTCCCCATACTGCTCTCAATGGGGGGGTGGCAATGGGCAGTGGCTGCAGCAGTGGGAACATGTTACATGTTCCAACCTAAAAACGGGTGGAACATGTTACATGTTTCAACCTAAAAATGGGTGGAACATGTAAAGTGTTCCCAAAGGTAAACTTATCCTTTAATCATTGCCATAAACTTGTATTTTGTGGTGGTTTACATCCCACGTCTGGGCAACATTGCCCTGTTTGTGGTGTTTAGAATTATTCTGTTATTTTATGCAGTCTTCATGTTATACTGGATAAGTACCAGTTCTAGAGACAACCTGGATGCGTTACATAATAATCGTATCTGACTTACACCTTTAACTTGCTTTTGCACCCGCTTTTATGTGCAACCTGGCCCAAACCCAAAGAGCTTATACTCACCACCCTATTCTGAGCCCAGTTTTGTTGCTTCCAAGTTAAAAGAGAGCTGACTGGTCATAAGTAGCTGTCTTTGATGAGCCTTACTCAACCTTATTAACATGAAAGAACCCTGGAAATACCTTTCAGGTCTCGGGAACCCCCTGCTAATAATTACTGTAGCTACAGCTCATGCATATTGGTGTGAACAGTAAGTCATATAATATGAGTTCCCTTATGTAGTACTGCCCCCTTAAGGGTTGCTTAGTAATTTTGGATTCCCAGTCAATCTGAACCTCTTGTTGAAAGCCCAATCTCTGCTGACACCATCGTAATTTCGTGACCAAAGTAAATCAAAAATGTAAAATGGACTCACACACAAGTTAATAAGGACCAATATGAAGTTTATACTGGAATTAAATGTAACTTGGTTAAAAAGAACAAAATGACACGGATATATGCAGCAAATATAATCACTCTTGGTAATTGTGAGCAAAAGTAATGACATTCACCATAAAGCAACAATAACTGTTGGCAGGCCTGCCTTCAGAAATGATCCACTGTCTCCAATCTGAGGGGACTGCTGAATCTCCAGTGAGCAGAAACAACTATCAACTAGATAGCCGAGGTGGCAAACTTTCTGTATTCACTTGGTTAGTGGGCATATGGGTCTCTCTCACCCAATCAAAATAGTCCAGCAGATCATAGCGGTCTGTCTTTCTCTGTAAAACGGGTCAGTCCATGGACTCTCCAGCTCAGACTTGGCATCCCGTCTAGTCTCCTGCTGTCAGATTGGCCTGTTGGACATCTTGACAGACCAGGTGGTCAGTAGGCTCTTTCCGCTCTCTCTCTTCTCTCTCCAACCCTGGCTCCATGGCTTAGTTCAGCACTTCATCTGTCAGCACACCTCCTTCTCTTTCAGTCTCTCCTGTCCAATCTCCTGGGCTTTTATAGCTCACACACTACCCTTCCTGGGAAATGTAGTCCCTGTTTGCCCTGCTCACCTGCTGAGTCCTGCTATTCAGCATACAAGTTCCAGAGGGCTGTTCTGTCTATGTGGGTGACCCTGAATGGCAGGCCACCGCCATCTATTGTCCATCTTAATGTATTACAAGTAATAACATTTCAATGGGTTACACATATTGGTGGTCCATGGAACCTCCTTTACATAAATGGTCAGTAGAGACAGGCTTCCTTAGATTGGTATGCTGTGGGAGAAGGACCCTTTACATTGGTGGTAATTGGGAGAAGGGCCCCTTTCCTGGTCACTGGGAGGAATTCCCCTCACATTGGTGGTCAGGAGGAAGCACGCCCCTTACATTAGTGGTCAGTGGGAAGAATGCTCCTTACATTAGTGGTGAGTGGGAAGAAATGCTCCTTACATTAGTGGTCAGTAGGAAGCACACTCCTTACATTGGTGGTCAGTAGGAAGCACACTCCTTACATTGGTGGTCAGTGGGATGAATGCCGCTTACATTGGTGGTCAATAGAGACAGGCTCCCTTAGATTGGTATGCTGTGGGAGAAGGACCCTTTACATTGGTGGTAATTTGGAGAAGGGCCCCTTTCCTGATCACTGGGAGGAATTCCCCTCACATTGGTGGTCAGGGGGAAGAATGCTCCTTACATTAGTGGTGAGTTGGAAGAATGCTCCTTATATTAGTGGTCAGTAGGAAGCACACTCCTTACATTGGTGGTCAGTAGGAAGCACACTCCTTACATTGGTGGTCAGTGGGATGAATGCCGCTTAAATTTGTGGTCAATAGAGACAGGCTCCCTTAGATTGGTAGGCTGTGGGAGAAAGACTCCTTTACATTGGTGGTAACTGAGAGAAGGGCCCCATTCCTGGTCAGTGGGAAGCACGCTCCTTACATTGGTGGTCAGTGGGAAGAATGCACCTTATATTGGTGGTCAATAGAGACAGGCTCCCTTAGATTGGTAAGCTGTGGGAGAAAGACCCCTTTACATTGGTGGTAATTGGGAGAAGGGTCCCTTTCCTGGTCAGTGGGAAGAATGCATCTTATATTGGTGGTCAGAGGGAAGAATGCTCCTTACATTGGTGGTCAGTGATAAGAATGCTCCCTACATAGACGTCAGTAGTGACAGGCTCCCTTAGATTGGTAGGCTGTGGGAGAAGGACCCCTTTACATTGGAGGTAATTGGGAGAAGGGACCTACTACTCCTCTGGTTGGTGGCAAAAATGTTCCTTACATTGGTGGTCAGTGGGAAGAATTCTCTTCTTACAGATATCTAAAATAAATATTGGTGGTTAGTGGTTTTTCTTATCAGAAATTGCTCAGCATGCTAGGTGTTAATAACTTGAAGTATATTTCTATTTTTTTTGGAAGCGTTAGAACTCCTCAGTTATTTGTATATGTTTTTGCTGCCTGTGGCTCTTGAGTATATTTCCCTTCATTTCCTGCCCCAGAAAGTGAGGGATATTCCCTCTCAGACAGTTGTCAATGAAACAGATGTCCCCATCAGTAGATTTTTTTCTTTATTCCCGTTCCATTGACAACAGTAACATTTTGGGTTATATGACACATAGAGGCTTAACATAGCAAAAGAAAAAAAAAATAGTTTTCAACCAAATGTATCTTTCATTGTTCCACGATTGTGTTTGATGTTGTAATTATTTATTCAAACCAGTACTGTTTAGTAGATTTCATTTTTAAAGGACTTCCTTATATAATTGTTTTACTCCTTCTCTGTTGCAGTTATGGACATGCGGCCTGCCCACAGTGTTCAGTTCCTGTCCGATGGACTGCACATGCAATCTCCTATGGACAGACGGAAGATGACGACAACCCAATAGGGTCACTACACTGAGGTGTGTGCATGGGGACCTTCGTGTATTGGACACTATATCTCACTGGGACTTTGTATATTGAAAATGTGGGTCTGACTGATAAATGTAAGGCTTTACTCCTGAGAAGCCCAGTAATGTAGACTTCTACAATAGTTATGTTACATTAGATGTTACACTATTACTGAATGTGGCACTGGCTATACTATATGGATGTGCCAATACTAAACTGGGGGTCTGTGGTCAAAGGGGGCCCATGATGTATTTATGTTCAGTGCCTGATGTGTATACCTGGGAACTTTCAAAATTTGATGAGTTTGAGATCGGGGTGGGGCGGGGTAAGGGGAGGGGCTATATAGGAGCACAGCAAAGTTGAAGTATTAGTTTAATAGTGGCACTGTGGCAGTGCGGTATCCTGCCACGGTGGAAATCATGATGGAGACCCAGGATTCTCAACCATACCGGTTGCGGGGCTCCAGGCAGTTCTCTTAATGCAGAGGAAACTGGTTTATAAGTTTCCTCTTTGGGTTTGTAAAGCTGTTTTGGGACCTGTAGCCTGGAGATTTCTAAGAGATTTGGGAGGGATGAAATCTCCAATCCTGGGTCCATGTTTTGAGAGCAGCCAGCGTGCTGATTGCACAGGTGTGTGCAGGCCTTTTTGTGGAGGCCAGGCCATGATTCTGGGCTCCACCCCGGCAGACGGGAGTCAGGAGGGCTCCACCCCGGCAGACGGGAGTCAGGAGGGCTCCACCCCGGGCAGACGGGAGGTCTCTGCCTTGGAGTCAGGTGGGCTTCACCAAGGAGAGGTGGAAGCCAGACAAGCTGTGTGCTATTGGCTAGCTGTGTGCGGGAAAGCCATTTTTGGATAGAGTCTGCAGGAGACAGACGGAAATCGGTGTACCAGCCAGAAGGCTGAATATCATTTGCATTTGTTTGATGTTGGACCCCCTGTGTGGGAAGCATTTGTGTTTCTGGAACTTTTTCTTTTAAATAAAATTGGGCAACAAGGCCCTGAAAGAAGCGAGTTGCTGTGTGCTTTAACAAGAAAAGCTCTACCATTCTGAAGCGAGTTCCCACAGCACACATGATGTTCCACAGCAAATTATGGTCAGATGTTAGAATATGTAGGCATCAAACAGGAAATCCTGACAATACTTTGGCAGCAAACAGGCAGTCTTGAGGTCTTATTAAAGCAGAACTAAAGTTTCACTGTGAGCCCGCAGGCTTTTTATTGCAGAAGAGACACACAATGCCGCACATAATGGCACCTACCTGCCTGCTCACAGCGATCCCTGGCATGTAAACTGAGCTCTGCATGCACAGTGGCCATCCCAATCCCTGTGCACTGGGATGACTAGCTCCTGCGCATGCACAAGAGTGACATCATCCCCCGCCAGCCAATGAAGATGGCCAAAAAATGTGAAAAATATACAAATCACAAATAATAGCGCAAAGAAATTCCCTCGGACAGAAGTCATTGGACGAAAGCGTGAGGGTGTGGCCTTCCTGTGACATCACTACTCATGTGATGCACGTGTCCGGATCACGTGATCGCACTACTACCATCTTGAATGAGGGCTGGCTGGTGAGACACAGGATGCAGAGACTGGAGCTCTGATATATAAAAAATGCCTTGTTTTTATTTGCTCATTGTGAGTGTGATTTTAGAGGGGGTTTGTTTGGCAAGTAATTAATTTGTTGGATGATACTGCACTATGGCAGTATTTTCTTTACCCACATGTGCTAATCTGGATATGAGAGGATCTCTCACTGGAGTTTGTTTGGTGATATGCTGGATACACAGTAATATGCTGAGTAATTACCAACACATGAGGATAGTCCTTTGAAGTCTGTTTGGTGAATGCTGGATATATACTGACATGCTGGTTAATTACTAGTACATGGTGAGTGTGCTTTTGATGGGGTGTTTTTGAGCACTGAATACCACATTGCTTATGAAGGAGGATCTCATTACTTCATTTACAGAGGATCATGTTTATATGGACTTTTCTGAATGGAGCTATATTGAGATTCCCTATTTATTGATTTTTTTTGTTTGCACTATTAATATGCACTTATTTGGTGGTGGTTATATTTAGAAACATCAAAGTGTGATTAGTAGACCCCTGCGCTATTATTTGTGATTTGTATATTTTTCACATTTTTATTATTATTTTGAGTTTTTTAATAATAGCAGCATCCAGTGACTGCAACTACCCATGTGTATTTCCTCTCTTTATTACATTGGCACAATGATGTTGGTATAATAGAAGTGTTGTATTTAATGAAACATTTCTTTGGTAACTAACTTTTTAGCCAATGAAGATGGCCAAAAACTGGCACACAGAAGAAGATGCCAGCAGCGTTAAGGGATAGGGACAGTTGGAGGAAAGGTGAATATTGCTCTCCCTAGTGTTGCTTTTTCCCTTTTTTGTCACCAACCTTTGTCATACATAGGCAGGGTTTTACACATACTATAGACCACCAGTAATGCATGTAAATGTCAGCTTTAGGGTGGAAGTGATCTTGAGGCTGTACAGCCACAGGACTGCTTTCACAGACACCATCTCCACTATCTCACTTGTGAGCCCGGGACCTGCCCGGGTCACCGAGTAGATGGGAGAGAGAGATCAACAAATGTCCATTCTATGCTCTTCCCTAGCTAGTAAGAATTCTGCTGTCACTTTCCCCAGCTGAAGCTAGTGAGCAAGTAAGAAGCTCTCCTTACCTTCAGTTAAGGGCTGGGAAACATCAAAGGTCTAGTAGACCCCTGATATCTTATTAAAGAGAACCTGTCACTTTAAACCCCCCCCCAACCCCAAAAAATCTTAAGCCCCTACATACCCACACACATACTTAAGAAAACGCCATGCACTACCCATGTCACTCATTGCCACACACGTAGGAGTGAAAGTAATAATTGTAGGTGGATTATTCACAGTTAACTCTAAACTTATGACCTGTAAAAGGTTGTAAAGTGTTGCCTATGGAAAATTTGGGGTACCAAAGTGTGTGACCATTTTATGGGTACACCCAGCTTTAAGGCTTGACATGTTAGGTATCTATTTACCCGGCACAACCTTATGTTTTATCTTTTATATGGCCAATGCCTCCTCCATCTTTCTCTCCTCTGTCTTGTTTTCTTAGCTCAGCTCCCCCATGTATGTAGACTTTCTAGGAGCTCCCTACCATGCTGCTAGCTAGCCCCCCCCCCTTTCCCCGCTTATTGGACACCACACAGAAGAATCCAGGAGATGTAGTCAGTGTGTCTCTCCTCCTCTTAACTCACTACCTATGTTAGCTGGTAAATGTGACCAGAGGGAAGAGCTGGAGGAGAAGAGAATACAACCAACACCTCCTCCTGGTTCCCTCCTCCTCAGCACTGGCTTCCCTCTTCCACTTCTAGCTGATATAAATAGTCACACTGCTGCAACTACTTCTTTCAGCCTGCAACAGAAGAGCCGAAGAGACCCCCCCCCAATGGTCTAGAGCAGGAGTCTCCAAATTTTTCAAACAAAAGGGCCAGTATATGGTCCTTCAGACTTTAGGAGGGCAGGATAAAGGCCAGTGAGGATAGAATATGTCCTGGACCCAGCATCAGTGAGAATAAACATGGCCTCAGGGTTGATGGTCAGTAGGAGGAGTGGTGCCCCATCATTGGTATTAGTGGGAAGAATAGTACACCATCATTGGTTCTAGTGGGAAGAATAGTACACCATAATTGATTTCAATGGAAGAAGTGCTGCCCCATTGTTGGTCTCAGTGGAGGAATAGTGCCCCAAGGGCCGGATAAAGGATAGCAAAGGGCAATATCCGGCCCTCAGGCCACAGTTTGGAGACCCCTGGTCTAAAAAGCCCGGCAGGCAAACCAAAAGTCTGGAGTTTCTGGACCAAATGCAGAGAGTTCCCCAGTGTTTTGATGTGTCACATCCATTTCTGTAGGAAATCATAAATTGATTTTTCACTAAGTGAAGGTGAACAGATATAACCAACCAATAAAAGCCAAAAACTGGATGTACAAAGATATAATTGTTTGGACTCTTTACCTCTGAAATGTCTTTAAAAAAAATTTTTTTAATAAAAATACTGGACCCTAAGGTTTCTTTGTTTTTTATTAATAATATATATTATTATTCAGTGAGGACTATGTGACTTCAGCAGTTGGGTTGTCTAGGGTCACAGCAGGCATCTTCAGCCTGCTGTTGTGGACTTATAGAATTTTTACATGGTTCCATTGACCCACTTTGGACCAATGTACCAGTTCATGTGCCATACCTGTGGGATCATTAATGAAGCTGGAAAATGACTGTAGTAATTACTGCTACTACAGTGATTAGTGCTCCCTTTGGGGTCCTGTGTCAAGCGGTTGCCCTGATTTCCACCTCATCCAATCAGTAAACACTTTGCTTTCAATGAGAAAATGGAAAGTGTTCTATGAATGGTACTCATGCCAAGCAGGTATCCTTCTGAGTTCAGTAAGCTGCAGGGCAGCTGCTCGGCACAGGACCCAGAAGCTAGCAGTAACCACTGGAGTAGCAGTGCCTGCTACAGTGATTTCCAGTGAAAAAAAAAAATAAAAAAAAAAAATTTCTTTATAAAAATAAAATGTATTCTGCTCCATGTCTTTGCTAAAAAAAAAAAATCCCAATAAGTATATAATAATTGGTTTACATGAACGTTATAGCACCTGCAAATGGCAGTATATATATATACTGGAATTTTTTTTTTTAATATACTAGTAATAGTGGCGATTAGCAACTTATAGTGGGCTGCGGGACTGTGGCGGGCATTCTGATGCTGGGTGGGAACTGACTAATTGCCACTGACATCCCCAGTGACACTAACACAGTGATCAGTGCTTAAAAAAAAGACTGACACTGTACTAATGACACTGGGCAGGAACGGATAACATTCGGGGTGATCAAGGGTTAACTGTGTGCTGTGTGTGTTTTGCTAGGGAGACATGCTGTGCAGAGAAATACAAAGCAGCATGTCCTTGCTGACAGGTGAGAGACATGTGTTAACACACAGGTCTCTCCCCTAACAGCTCTGCTAAAGATCCGAGAATCGCTGGCCAGTACCCGGTGATTGACATGTCCAGCAGCCAATAGTGGCAGGTGTAGGGTGGCGAGCACGCCCCTACCAGGAAATGCAAGTCGTTCCTTCCCGGTGATGTCTCCGGCTGCTGCTCTCTGAAATACCACTAAAGGGTGAACATTTATGAGATATTCATTTTACCTCCAGGGAAGATTTATTATAAGCTCAACTGTAGGTCTAAGTCAAAGAACGGACAATAGCAGATTGATGGCCGGGCGGGACGCTCCTCCTTCTGAGTGGCTGTCATATGACGTCCTGTCTGAAGGTACTGCTCACGCAGCTGCAGGGTCGCGCAGCGGCACAATCTGTCAGCGGATGTGTTCCACGGGACACAGCCGATGACAGATCACTACACCGGCCCGCTGCCAATGTCATGTGACCGCTGTGACCAAGGGTGGACTGACAAATCATGGGGCCCCCGGGCAATAGGGGATCGTGGAGCCCCTGTGTCCTTGCCCAGACTCAAAAAAGCCTATGAAAAACGTACCAGGGGCATCTCATGGGGCCCCTTACTGACCCCGGGCCCTCGGGCAGTGCCCGAGTTTCCAAATGGTCAGTCCGCCCCTGGCTGTGACCAATCATAATGTGTAAAACAAAATCCTGATCACTTGCCCAGAGTAGTAGTATTATGGTGTCATTGTATTGCTCTGGTCACATTGTGTGGGAAAACAACAAAATAGTTAAAAAAAAAATGTAGTAAAAAAAAATAAATAAAAAATAAATAAATAAAAAGTAAATTATTATTATTATTTTATACATGCTGTCACCAATCACTGTCCCTGATCACTGCCACACCAGTTATATAATAATGCTGTACTGGACTGGTGACAACATGTAAAAAAAGTTTTAAAAATTGTGAATTTTTTTTTTAATTTCTTCATTTTCCAAGAAATTGGAACAAAAAATTACAACTTCAAAAAACTCACCGTGCCTCTTACTAAATACCTTGGACTGTTTGTTTTACAAAAATGGGTCATTTGGGTGGTATTTGTACTATCCTGGCATTTTCAGGCCTCAAGAAATGAGATTGGCTGGCAGTAGATGAGGATGGATCGATTGTCAGATATATGCCACGGTTTATGGACACTATAACATTCCTACAGATAAATAATATATACTAATTTGGGGTATTTTCACCAAAAGAAATGTAACAGAACACATTTTGACCTAAATTTATGAAGAAAGGTTATTTTGTTTGCAAACGTTTACAACAGAAATGAAGAATTTTTTTTTCAAAAGCTTTTTTTTTATTTAGCAATAAATAAAAAACTCAGTGATGATTAAATACCACCAAAAGAAAGCTCTATTTGTGTGAAGGAAATGATAAAAAATTTTTTATGGGTAAAGTGTGGCATGACCGCGCAATTGTCTTTCAAAGTGCAACAACACTGAAAGCTGATAATTGGCCTGCGCAGGAAGGGGATAAATGTGCTCGGTATTGAAGTGGTTAACAGAAATGACAAAATTGACCTGCTCTGTGCGTTTGCTAAACAATAATGTTGTATTAAAGTTCATGAAAGGATAAGTTCCCCTTCGGCATCATGTTACGCATTTCACATGATTTTAAAAAGCATTGCACCCGATCCTGCGACCATCTGCTGATCGCTGGTGCAATGCTTTAGAGGCTCAGAACACAAAATATAATAAATGCACATTTTTTTTACCTGCCTTTATGTGCCTTTATTATCTGTTGTGTAAAGGTGAACTTATCCTTTAAGTAAAGAAAAAGGTGGAGTGGAGGTAGGATTGCCACCTCATCCCTTTAAACCAAACACATATTAACTACACAGTTTCTGAGGCTAATTTAATGCAGATAAGGCACTAGGTGAGTTTAATTACCACCTTAATCAGCCACAGAACCTGGGTAATTAATATGTGTTTGGTTTTAAAGGGATGAGATGGCAATCCTAAGTGGGAGTCACAGATTTCCTGTCGAGTGGAGATCCACTCTGCAGCCAGGGCAGTCTTTAATACCAATTGGGCCTTGGGCAAATATTTTTGTGCGCCCTCACCCTCTGAGACATACAAAAAAATAGCAGGTAGACTCAAAATCAGTTTACTGCAGCAAATCATGGAGCAATTGCAATTGGTTGCCAGAGGTTACAAGACATAATTTCTGCTCACTGATTGGTTGCTATAGACTGCTTATCATTACCGCTTACTGATTGGTTGCTAGACGTTACAGCACATCATTATTGTTAACTGATTTGTTGCTAGAGATTACAGCACATCAATACTGTTCACTGGTTGCTAGAGGGTACTGCACTATATTAATGCTCACAGAGCAGAGGAGCCATCCCAAATAATTGAGCAAGTAAAGCAGTAAACTAATACATATACTACAAGAGATGACTGGAGACTGCAGACATAGTACAGGAGATGACCAGAGACTGCAGACATAGTACAGGAGATGACCAGAGACTGCAGACATAGTACAGGAGATGACCAGAGACTGCGGACACAGTACAGGGGATGAACAGAGACTGCGGACATAGTACAGATGACCAGAGACTGCAGACATAGTACAGGAGATGACCAGAGACTGCGGACATAGTACAGGGGATGACCAGAGACTGCGGACATAGTACAGGAGATGACCAGAGACTGCAGACATAGTACAGGAGATGAGCAGAGACTTCGGACATAGTACAGGAGATGACCAGAGACTGCGGACATAGTACAGGAGATGAGCAGAGACTGCGGACACAGTACAGGAGATGAGCAGAGACTGCGGACTTAGTACAGGGGATGACCAGAGACTGCAGACATAGTAAAGGAGATGACCAGAGACTGCAGACATAGTACAGGAGATGATTAGAGACATACTACAAGAGATGGTCAGAGACTGCAGACATACTACAAGAGATGACTGGAGACTGCAGACATACTACAGGAGATGACCAGAGACTGCGGACACAGTACAGGAGATGACCAGAGACTGCAGACGTAGCACAGGAGATGACCAGAGACTGAGGACATAGTACAGGAGATGATCAGAGACTGCGGACACAGTACAGGAGATGACCAGAGACTGCGGACACAGTACAGGAGATGACCAGAGACCAGAGCGGACCTTTGGGGAGCAGAGGGAGGGGGAGCAGGTGCCCAAATTTGACAGGTACCCGCTCCCACCTCTGCGGAGTTGTCCTCCCTCCTCGTCTTCTGAGACACGAGACAGGTCCCAGAAGACAGCCGGACCATTCACAAAGCGCAGCGCTTCTCGTTCATGTGCAGTGGGCACCCGGCTGTGAAGCCGCAAGCTGGCACAGCTGGGTGCCCACACTAAAGATGCCGGGTACAAAAGATGGTGAGGACAGCGCTGGACCAAGGAACAGGTAGGACCAAGGAGCACAGAAGAGATGAGAGGCTGGCCTGGTATTCTAACATGGCTCTGGCTATACCAGGCCGGCCGCTCCATTTGACGCACAGACATTTTTCCCCATTTTTTTGGGGGGGAAAAAGTACGTCTTATGGAATGAAAAATACGGTAGTTCTTTTCGACCTGCTTGGCTCATTTTAAAGTCACATAGAGTTAGGCTTTAACCCCTCCACTGTGCTATAGGGATAGTGTGGCCCGTTGTTCCACCTCCATCCAGCCTACAGGATTGGCATCGGGGGATGGACTGCTGAGCCAGAGGACCATGTGGATGTCAGGTTTGAGAGGCAGACCAGAGCATTGCTGGCCACCTCTCGCTTGGTTAGTACAGAGTATGTGAGATTGATCAACAACAAGAGGTCATTTGCAGCAATCGGTGTGGAGGGAGCCCTTTGGCCACCCTTATTTGTGTCATACTTGTTGCCCATCACATGCTGCCAGTAGAAATCTGCCTAAAGGAAGTTGCATACGCTATCCTGTACATGACATACTCCTGACCCCTGCACTATTTATACCATATTGTACAACAGATGGTTAATCAAGTTCTTCTTCGAGGTAGGCTTGATGTGTGCAGAAAAGCATATCCAATGGTAGAGTCTCATATCTGAGGTTTGTACATGCTTGTTAGACTCTTGCTGGTAGCACAGTTTCTAAAGCATATTTATTGGGTGCAGGGACTGTGGCATTTGTCTTAGTGTACACAGTGAGGAGGGTCATGTTTTAAGCCCCTCCTACACTTTTAAAGCAATTTGCCACACCCACAATTTGTCATGATGTGGCAGGCGCACTATTATTCTCTGGGTACCCAAGGCTGAATTCCCCCAGGAAAAAAAAAGATCTATGGCCTTGCCAAGCTATGCAACCTCTGAAGCACAACTGTAGTTAGGAAGGAAGATCGTCTTCCATGCAGCTCACAGGAAGTGACAAGGGCAGGATCAAGGGGAAAAAAAAATATAGAATTTTTGCTTGCACTTGATTGGATGATGGAAGTCAGCAGAGCATTCCCCCATTTACCAAGATCTGGGGCAAAAGTTGCAAAGTGAATGGTCTATTAATCTATAATAAGCCAACCCCAATATCGGCAAAGGAACACACACGTCTTGCATCTTATCTGTTGTGGCAGAGCGTCCCAAAGGAACCCGGGGAAAGTCCTGTTTGGGGTTTATAGATCTCCCAGGATCCTGACCTATACCTTTAGGGATCTCCGATATGAGGTCCAGTGCAGGATGTACCCCCAGGGGTGTATTTACCAAAAGTCACACAAGGCATTTGGCTAGGGTGGCATTTTTCAGGGGGGGGGGCAGCACTGCCCCTTGGAAGAAGGGACGGAAGAAGGAACACATGTAGCATGGAGACCTGGTGGGTTCCGAGAGATGCTGTGGGTTTCATGATGGTGTATGCACAGCCCGACTCTCGTTCCTGGGGATGTCCAGAACTGTGAAGGTGAGTGTCTTTTTCTCTCTCGCCATGGGGGATGGTGGCTGGTGTATGGGAGGCAGTGGTAGTGGAAGGCTCGGGTGGAAGGCAGGGGTGTTCTTGGTAAATGTCAGTCTCTTTCTGCGGGGGGGGGGGGGGGGGCGCCAATTTTTATGTTGCCTAGGGCAGCAAAAAACCTAGATACACCACTGGATGTACCTATCTCTGTGGGTAATTAAATCCACCTGGGACTTGTAGTTGGAGCTCTCAGCCTGGGGATCAGACAAGTCCTGTCTGGAGAGCTGGAAGGTTGGTGGAATCGAATGAATTGTGTATGTTGTGGCTGACAAGCGGTAGGCTTGGTCAGTCGGATAGTTAGGTCCTGTGTTACTGTGTAGTTAGAGTCGGGACACGGCTAGGCTTTTGCTTTATATATTTTGTTTTATACACTGTACAGAACTTTTGTAAATACCCCTAATAAACACCTTCCCTGTTTGCCATTAATATCACTGGATTTGGTATCTGTGTCTGAAAGTTCTGCTTACCCCAAGACATATACTGTATATCCCAGCTGCCTAAATCCAGCTCACACAATGCACAGCAAAATGTTCAGTTGCATGTGAAGTCAAGCATTGTTTGTGTTTTTTATATATATATATATATATATATATATATATATATATATATAAAAAAAAACATGACATATAGAAATTCCCCGTCTTCAAAAAGCTTACTGGTGTGGAGAAATTGCTGATTGTGTGATATTAGATGACTTCCCCTATTGCATGATTCATATATTGCGCTGCCCAATACACAGACTGGCACATAGACACTGGAGACCGAGGGATTCACTAAACACAATTGGATATTTACAGATCTAGGAAATTCCAGGATTCCAAAAAAGAAATCTAGGAAGCCTGAGAAATCGGAGAATCCTTCAGATCAAGGAGGTGCCAGGACTAGAGTGAAGGAAACGTTATTTACTATCAGTTTGAAGAAAATGATCTTCGAGCAACACCAGTTGGCCTCCTGGGCTGCTGTGTCAGGTAAGGCTTTTTTCACATATATGCATTTTGCCTTTGATGCTTTCTCCAGTGCTTTTTGCAGTTTGTTTTTTTGTTTTTCTATATGTATTTTTGATGCATTTTTGACACATTTTTACCACGTTTTGTGTTTTTGTTCAGCTCTTTTTTTGTTATAGTGGAATATTTTGTTGTTTCTTGGCAGAATGCAAAACGCGGCAAAAAATGCACTACCATGCATTTCAGCAGTTTCTCCACTGAAAGCAAAAACGCTTATTTTTGCTTTTAAAAAAAGTCCCTGGCCCTTTCCAAAAACACAGCAGCTTAAAAAAGCATGGATGGAAACATATTCCATAGGAAACCATGTGAAATGGACTGTAGTGCGTTTCTGCAAAAAACGCTAAAAAGCACATTGGTGTGAATGGAGCCTTAGACTAGCAACAGACCCCGAGAATGTTCCCTGTCTTGATTGTGTTGCTGCAGTGATGTTGAATAAAGATAATTAAAGACTACCCACAATTTACACAGCACTTTACATACATATAATGGACCATTAATATTCCTGGTTATGTTCTCTTTCTGAGAGACAGGGTATATAGGAAAGGTGGTGGTGTCTGTCTCTATGTGAGAAGTGATCTCAGAGTGTGAAAGAGGACCTAGTTGATGGAGAGTGTAATGAGGCTGAAGCATTATGGGTGGAACTGCACATGGGGGTGGGTACTACAAAGGTAATCATTGTAGTTAGTTATAGGCCTCCCAGTGTCAATGAGGAGGTGGAGACTCAGCTCCTTGTGCAGATCAAAAGGACTGCAAGGGCTGGGACAGGGATAATAATGGGGGATTTTACCTACCCAGAAATTGACTGGAGTAATGGTACTGCAGGAACAATTAAAGGGCAAAACATTTTAAACCTACAACAGGACACTTATGGTATAGTTCATGAAGGCCCCAACTAGGAATGATGCTCTGCTGGACCTGGTAATCTCAAACCATGCAGAGCCTATTACAAATGTCCATATAAAAGAACATCTGGGTAGCAGTGACCATAACATGATTTAATTTATTGCTAGCTATAAACAGCGAGCACATACGGGAAAAATAAAGACGCTCAATTTTAAGAGAGCTAATTTTCCACGGCTGAGAGATGCTCTCCAAGACTTAGACTGGGAGGGAATATTGGCATCGATGAACACAGCACAGAAATGGGAGTTCTTCAAAAAGACTGTATGTAAACACACTGCAAAATATATTTCCATGGGCAACAAGTTTAATAGGCTAAAAATCAAACCTATGTGGCTTACGGACAAAGTTAAAAAAGCTATAATAGATAATAAGAAAAGCGCTTTTATTAAGTAGAAATATGAAGGAACGCGATCATTGTTTAAACATTACAAAGAATATAGCAGAATATGCAAAAAGGAAATAAAGGCCACTGAAACTGAAAATGAACGCAGATTGCAAAAGATAGCAGGATCAACCCAAAAAATTCTTCAAATATATTAATAGTAAAAAGGTTCGGCCCGAGCATGTAGGTCCTTTACAAAAAAATTCTAGAGTGGGTGACTGGGGACAAAGAGAAGGCAAATTTATTAAATACCTTCTTCAGCTTTGTGTATACAAAGGAGCATAGGAGAGCTCTTGTCCATAACGGTCATGGTATTGACACAGCTCCAGATGATCCACATTGGCTCACAATTGATATGATCCAGAAATATTTTAGTCAGAATATAGGTGAATAAAGCACTGGACTGGATGGCATACACCCACGGCTCCTTAAAGAATTGAGCTCTGTCATTTCAAAGCCATTGTTTCTCATTTATAGGGACTCTTTAATGACTGGCATAGTACCACTGGATTGGCGTAAGGCCAACGTGGTGCCAATATTTAAAAAGGGGTCAGCATTTTACCAAGTAATTATAGACCTGTTAGTTTACCTTCTATAGTTGGGAAGATACTGGAGAGTTTAATAAAAAGACCACATAGATGAGTTCTTGCTGGAAAAAAAATATTTTAAGCAACAGACAGCATAGATTCATGAAAGACAGAAGTTGCCAAACAAATCTGATTTCTTTTTATGAGGAGGTGAGCAAAACCTTGGACAGAGGGGTGGCAGTGGGTGTGGTATACTTGGACAGAGGGGTGGTGGTGGACGTGGTTTACTTG